CTAAGTATCCTTGAGCAAGATACTGAACCCCGAATTGCTCCCGATGCTGTGCATCGGTGTGTGAATGTGTATGAATGCGTTAGTTTCTGTTCGATGGGCTTTGCCATCACTGAGTGAATGTGTGTGAAAGGGTGAATGTGGCAGATAGTGTAAAAGCACTTTGAGTGGTCGGAAGACTAGAAAAGCACTATACAAGTACAGGTCCATTTACCATTTGGTTTCTTTTCTGTGTTGCAGCATTCCTCGATGGTAAGGATGCTCACTCCGTCCTGAAGCGTTTCCCCCGAGCCAATGGCTTCTTGGAGGAGTTGAGACAGGGAAACATTGAGAGGGAGTGTGGTGAAGAGAGCTGCAGTTTTGAAGAGGCCAATGAAGTGTTTGAAAACAAAGAGAGAACGGTGAGATATAGTACAGGCAGGTGTGTTCAGCAACTCCATCAATTATGGGAGCATGATAGTACTGCATTGACTGCTGGAGTAGAAACAGTGGCTATGTAATAGCACTATAACTTAGTTGTATAAGTATGTACTATTAACCGTGTATGAACGCTATCATTGTATGGCCTGGCTGAGGTTAAACCTTTTGTCAGAGTCCTAGTAGAGCGGGTCTTGACTTTGCAATCCTGGGGGAAAAGATGGCTGTTGGGAAGTTGCAGTCCTATTTTGGGTCTAATAAATGTGATATCGGATTGATGCACAGACGCACGGAGGAATGTTCCGGCACCAATGCCAGAATTGGAACAACTCTACTAAACACACCTGTGGTTACTGTAAAATCCATGTATAAATATCAGCAGATCAGTATCACACTTGTCTCCCTACCCTGTTTAGTGTCAGTTTCAGTTGAAGTCTAATTAAGCAAACAGCTCAATATGAACCCAAGGTACAAAAATATCAAATTTGTGCTTCCTAGATGGAGTTTTGGAAAACTCGCAGCGTCTACACAGTGAGCAGCAACAGCGAGGATCGCTCTGAGCGTGCCGACACCGTCTACATGGTGGTTCCTCTGCTGGGTGTGGCCCTGCTTATCATCATCGGCCTCTTCCTCCTTTGGAGGTGCCAGCTTCAGAAGGCCACTCGGCGGCGGCCAGCCTACACCCAGAACCGCTACTTGGCCAACAACCGCAGCACCCGCAGCTTGCCACGCATTCTGGTTCATCGGGAAACTGCAATGCACAACGAAGGCTCGCACCAGGAGTCCAGCCCACATCCAACTGTGGTAGTGAGTGGTGCTGAGAGAGGAGGTTCCCAGTCTGACTCCCATGCCCTCCACCAGCAGAACACTCATGCCCTCTATGTTCAGGACTCCTCCCTATCAGTGGCCTCACGGCTGTCTGGTGCCACACCACCTCCATCTTATGAAGAGGTGACGGGACAGCTGGAGAGCAGTGGTGATGAGACCACAGCACCTTCATACAGTGACCCTCCACCCAAATATGAGGAGATCATAAAGGAGAAATGAAACAGAGGCAAAAATAATGCTGCCATGACTTTTTCACCCCCACTGTATCTGAAAGAGGTCAAGGCTGGCAAAAAAGCAGTTGCTGCCTCAGTGATGTTGGCTGGTTGTAATTCCATGTTCACATTGTTGTCAAATACTTAATTTCTCTGGTCTTCATTTTACTTTGGCAAACTTTGAATTGCAGACTTTGTCCCTGCTGCAGCCATAGTGGGGACTAAATGTACAACAAGGTGCGAGGAGAGGATTTGGAAAGCAGGACTCTCACTAATCCACGGACTAGAAAAGCAGGCAGCTCTCAGTGCACAGTGTCACTGTGGGATCGAAGCACCATGCTGCAGCTGGGCTGGACGGTCACTGTGACTGTAAGGTATCCTTTCCAACTGAGCGTCCTCTCTGTCAGTGTACATATACTACAGTATGAAAACTGTATCTACATACGCAAAGTGGAAGTATTGGGACTGAGCCAAAGTTATTGTTTAGTTGGATGATCTCATGCTTTCTTGTTGTTTTAGGTCATTTACAAGTTTGGTTTTCACAGTTAGAGTAAGAAGTGAAGCACATATGTAGGCATGATTAAAAAGCACTTAGAACATCTAAACTTTAAAGGAAAGACCCATAATCAACAGCCAGTTGGGCTCAGGGTCATCTTTTATGCTAAGTCTGTGTTCCACTTTAGATAATTCAACTGCGAACAAGACTTCCTAATACTTGCGCTAGTGACTGTATCTCTATTATTGTTTTCAGACCACCTCCACACACCAGCTGCTCACTTGCTGTAAGAGCAAATCCCTGCATTTATGGTTCCATTTCACTAACTCCTCCAACCAGACGGTTTCCCTTATGTGGACAGTCATTTAGCTGTCATGGACCTCAGACAGGACAGGTTGCTGAGAAAATGCCTCTGGAATAAACGGGTGTGGGCCATGGCCTTACGGTGTTGACAGAGGGGACAGAAGACTGTTGCCAAGTACTCTGTTTAGTGCTTCAGGACTGATTCTCATGAGGTCACCAAGGTCTTAATTAGTAATAATTTCCTCAGCACTGTACCATACAGAGGCAAGTTTAATTATTGCCAAATGTACTTGTCTTAACACTTACCATACGTGCTACTTGACCACTAGTCTTACCATCTACCTGTGGACCAAACTGATATCTACTGTGTACAGGCCAGTCTCCCGCTGCAGTTTATGCTGGGGGCTTGGTATTAATACGTTAAAACCAATAATTTTTCTATCCAAAATTCCCAATTCTTGTGTATTTGTTGGTCTGGGTTAGTAAATCTATTGCTGAAACGGTTAGGTGATTAGTTAATCAACAAAAACATTTACTATACTTATTATAATCAATATATGAATTAGGTCATTTGTTAAGCAAAACTGCACTTCCAACACTTCCAACTTTTCAATTTTTTCTGAGGACTTGGTTTTATATGGTTGTAAACTGAATATCTTTGGGTTTTTGGACTGTTGGTCCATAGAGTCATTTATAATGAAATCAGTAGTTGCGATGCAACCATAAATACATCTTTCTGCCCTCTAAAGCCAAACAGGAGTATTAAACTAAGTGGACCTAGGAGGCAGTCTGACACAAGAAGAAGAATCAATATAATTTTATTACAATGCCAAAACCTTCATATGCTTCTCTTGATGTGACTTTTCTGGTAGTGCCATAAAATACAGGACAAGTAGAACTGCTGCAAAACTTAGGACAAGCATATATGAGCCTGTTTTGTGGCAAATCAAGAGAAGACGTAATTCTCTACCAAGATAATCCAAATACGCACTAACACATACATTCACACATGCACAGTCACAATTCTGTGTATGTACAATGTGTATTTGAATGCATGTACTGTATGTGAATAGATAAACACATACACATTCAAAGACATTCACACCGCAGGCACAAGCGACCCAAATCTGATTTCTTTGCTTATATGTGACTCAGATCATTTTTTTTCCTGACAGTGTGAACAGCACAAATCACATGGAATCTATTCTTTTCAATTCTGATTCAGGCCACTTTCATATGTGGTACAAATCAGATACAGGTTGATTTTTTGCAATGCAACCTCAGTGTGAATAGTCTTATCAGAGTCTGTGCGACTTTTATGTCACTCTTGATCTACATCCGTTGTGCGGGTCACTTCAGGACCGTGACCTGTTCACACTGGAATCTGCCACATTTAACAAATAATGTAAACAGCCAAACAAAAAATATCCGATTTGAGCAATAACTCAGAATTGACCACTAAGGCCTGCGGTGTGAACATAGCCAAACAGCACAATCCTAGTGACTCAGTATAAGATAAGATAAGGAAACCTTTATTTGTCCCACAATGGGAAATTGCAGTTTGCGAACAGCATACAGAAAAAGGACAGGATAAAAAATAACAAGAGCAGGAATAAAAAAATAAACAAGAGCAAAGAGTAGGCTTATAAAATATAAATTTAATGAAAAAAAGTAGGCATTGCCACAGACTTGGTGTCAAAACTGTGTTTTGAAGTTTTTTTGTAATACTATTGCACATATTAAGGATGTGTTCGTTGTGGAGCTAACAGCAGCAGAAGGAAAAGACCTGTCTGTATCTTCCTCACAATCGAGGGTGAAGCAGTCTTGTCACTGAAACTGTCCTCATTCTGTCAGGTCACCGTGCAGGGGGGTGGGGAAACTCATTGTCACAGCCATGGGATGAAACTTTTAGCCAGACTCTCCTGTCACCCACCTCCACGTCACTGAGTCCAAAGGCAAGCCCAGGACAGACTGGACTTCCTTGATGATCTTATCCAGCTTCTTCCTCTTCCCTCTCTGGTGATGCCAACTGTTCTGTTCCAGCAGACCACTCCGTACAGGATGGCTGATGCCACTACCGAGTCATAGAAGGTCTTCAGGAGTGCCCCTTTCACTCCAAAAGACCTAGCACCGTTATTACAGTTGCAGAGTGGATTGAACTGTGCTTGCTTCAGTCCTACTATTATATCACAACTTTTAGTTGTTATATTTTACACGGTGCGGTTAGTGCAGCAGTATAGTTGTGTGGACACCAAATACAGTCAAAGTAAATAATTGTAAATAACAATCTTGCGTTTTTATGTGTGGAGATGCAGTCTCTCCATCACTGGAGATATGACATTATGTAATGCTGCACTGGGTAAACTTCAAAGATATGTGTACTTTACATTTTTGCTGGCCATTTTCATATTCAACCTGTACAGATTTTGTTTAAGTATATTTCCAATGTTGGGTTTTCTGCCACAGTCTGGCAGTCTGTTTAATTTTCAAATCATCAGATTCTTCACGTTTTGGTTTTAAACTGTTCCCATGCAATGATAACCTTGACAAAAACTTCATGCACAAACTTTATGGATTACACAATTTTCAGTCAGTTAACAGATTTTTAAAAGTCAATCAGCGCACATCTTAAAGCATAAAACTTTCCATCCTATATTCAGTGAAAATAATAAGAGATGTTATTAAATACATTTCTGGAAGACATTTTACATCTACCACCCGTCCTGGCACATTCCCATTTTACCGACCCACTGTGCACTTGGATAAATAAATAGGATGTAAGACATGAATGAGATTTTTCAAATATGGAGAGGAGGAGCAGAACCCTTACTGTATTATTTTGCCTATATTAACTGTATATTTGACAGAATTACAATCGGCTCAGGTATCCTTGCCAGCAGCTGCAGCAGCACCACCAGTATTTGTACATGAAGATACATTTTACAATATAGATCAATTGAAAATATTAAGCTTAAAGATCCAGTGTGTAACATTTGTATTGGCAGAAATGGTATATAATATGATAATTTAAATATGTTTTCATTTGTGTATAATCAACTGAAATTGGTTGTGTTTTTGTTACCTTAGAAGTTAGTTTCCATCACAGATTCTCCTATATGCTTGAAACAGGAACGTGAGGCAGACAGCCTCCCACCTAGAGGCTCAAGGTTTCTGCCTCCTAAAATGGAGATTTTCCTTGCAGCTGTTGCCAAGTGCTGGCTCATGGTGGGAAGGAGTACAGTCTAGACCTGCTCTGTTTGAAAAGTGTCCTGAGATAACTTTAGTTATGAATTGGCACTATACAAATACAATTTAATTGAGGTGAGGGTGTCTGCAACTTTTAGATGCCACTAAATCCTACACTGGTCCTTTAATACATACCATATTGAAAATACATTAAAAAATCTACAACATCTACCATGGTTTGCAAAATGGTCAGTCATGATGTAAAGTAGTCTATACATGATTCATTCATAAAACATGCAAAGCAGTATGGTTTGACTACATTGTTACACAAGAATGTAAAATGCTCCTGGTGCAGCTTTACAACCATATTATTAACTGATAAAATAGATGTGTGTAACTGTAAAACAAATAATATTCTACAGCAAGAGGAGTTGTCTCTGTTTGCCATAGCCACTACCATGGTTACCAGTTCCATTCCCTTTAGGCTACTCTGAACATCCACCAAAAGTGACACATTCAGTCTGTGTTCCAGTAATGAGAAGTGTCTCCATGTTAATACTTTAGATTTACATTTTGTTGCATATTAGAGTTTTACCTCACCACGTCTGATAAGGTGCACTTATAGCTTTCCGCCAGTGGCTTATTTTTGTATTCTATCATATTAGTTATTGCCTGCAACTGTTAGAGATCGGGCCTTTGTTCTACCACATTCCAATAAGACATATCCACTGTTTGAAAAATAATAAATGATTGATTTAATTCTGTATTTTCTTTCTACCAAAATGGATGTATTGGATATTGAAATATAATTGTGCTACTCTCTTGTACTACTTTCACATTGGCCTTTTTTAAACTCAGTATCAAACTGAGATACTTTTCAGCCAAAGCTGTGTGGATGCAATTCTGTACTTTATCCACCTTTTCAAACAGCATCTGTGTAGGTCTTGCCAGACCACAGCTTCACCAGCTCCAGTACACCAGCGAGGAAGCACATGTTTTTAGATCCTGCACTGCTGCTTTACTGTCACCCAAGCCCAAGAGGACATGTTTTTTTGGAAACTTTGCATCATGATGCTTCTGGAGTGTCTACCACTGTATAGTTTACTTCACTGCAGGTTACTTTAGATGCATTCAAGAAAGAATATGTGATAACTTTGGGACTCTTGACAGCAGAAATAGATACCTTGTGTCTATAATCCAACCTGTGACCAGCCTGTAGCATCATCATAAAGAGCTGTGTCCCACAGGGTTTGAGTTTAATCTGAACTTTGTGGGGGTCTCTAAAATAGTTTGCAACAACCTGAAACTGCCCTGCAATATTGCAACAAACTCCCAATATCCTGAAATATGCCAATCGAGACCCATCTCTCAAAGTGCGAATGCTAGTCTGCCCTTTTTGATAACATCGCAAAGTAGGTGTTATTATTTTACACACTTTTTGCTGCAGGTGTACAGTACCCTACCCTATGTAGTGCTCTGCTAGTGAAAAGGGGCGTCGGTTTTTGCAAGTTGTAAATCCAAAAGAAATCAAGAAGTCAATACAAAAGCAAATAATAGTCATTAAATGTACAAATTAATTGTTTTTTTATTAAAATAATGTTTTTTCGTTAATGTACAGTATTAGCAACTCCCCCAGGTATGATTTTACTGCTTTCATGGGAGCTCAGATCCTTCTTATGGGAGCTCAGCTCCCACTGGCTCTAACTTACTTGAACCCTGGTGTCCCATTCACAGGGGTGGTCCAAATAAGAGCCACTGCTTTAAGCAAAATGCTATCTAAATCCTGCAGTCAACACTAACATTAATAAGGTTTTAACATTGTTGAGACTGTGTAAGAGGAGAGATTAATATAATAGAAAAAATGTATTGATTAGTTGTACAAACAAAAACAATGTTAGGAGTGTCCAATGTCCTTATGAACTGAATATCATGGTGATTAGGCTTTCACTCTAGGAAATAACAATGGGCATTTTCCATGAATTTCTGACATTTTACAGACTAAGTGATTCATTAAAAACAATCAACAGATTAGTTGAATGAAAATGAAAATAGGTTGCAGCCCAATGTTATGGTGGTTGTATTGCAGTGCGTGATAACCTAACCTAATCTACCTATAAGGGCACTGTGAAGAGTTGAACTTAAGCTATATTCACAGAGCCTTCACTCTGATCCTGGATTACAAAAGTTAAAACAACCAAAGACCTAATAGGATAATGAGGACACACCACTGAATTTGTCAAAAAAGCTCATTAAGTATGTGTCATTGTTACAAAAATAAGTAACAGACAGAATTGCATTAAAAGTTCCCAAAGATATCAGGAAAACTCATCTCTGTTGTATCAGTATCAGTTGTTCTCTACTGTTATTGTTACGTCTTGAATGTAATATGAAATATCCATAAAATATGTCACAGTTAACTCAACCTACCTGAGTTTTTCCTTAACTACCTTAAGGAAAAAGGTGGGAAACCACTAGTGAAAGATATTGTTCTGGTTTCAAAATTTTTAAATAATCTTGTGTCTATGTTTGTGAGTGTGATGTGTGGGCTGATGTGCCAAAACAGCATCTACTGAGATCTCTGTAGTCTTCCTTTATATTCTGAATAATATATCCACCCTCTTTTATTGTGTATTTAGACAAATCCTTCAGTGCATTTCAGAGTCATTCACTGTACACCATCATTGTGTATTTCCTTCCTCCTTATCTTCATTATGATGCTTAGCTTTGCTGTTTGCCTGGATTAATATGAGGTGTGTTGGCTGTTGGTTTTTCCAAGAGATATAATTATGTACGATACCAGGATGGTTTTGTGTCTCTCATGCCCTGTTCTTTACCATCTCTCACACTGATGTAGATGAAGGCTGAAGACACATTTCACACATTCAGAGATTGACTGACTGATTGTTTTCCACTTGTTAATGTACCATGTCCCTGGTTACAAATATCAGTGAGCTAAGATATAAATGTAGATTATTGGCAGATAGCGTAGCTGTGTGCGGGTGGTGGGTTCTTTACCTGTCAAAGAATGTAGAAGCACTCTGTAAATGTTTGAATCCTGTAGACCACTGTAGTTTAATTGGTAGATTCAAATAAAGCATTTCAAATGCTTGTGTGTATGCTAATATGCACATTTTTTAACGGTTAAGTTGTTTTCATCCAATGATCTGTGTGCTACACCGACAAAATATGCAGTGTTTATATAATATGTATCCATATTATATTAGTACATATAAATAAAGGATACCATCCAGTTTTATGTTTTATATGAATTTCTAGCATTTATAGTGGCTAATGATTATTTTCATTATTATTCAGTAAATTATTTTTAAATTCATGATTTAGACTGTAAAATGTAATCATGACAATGTCTACCACAAAGAAAGAGCTTTTCTACTACTTCTATTATATTTATTTCCTATTTTTTATATGGTTATTATTATTATAGATAAAATATATAAATTATTATTATCCCACACTAACAATGAAGAATCTTTCATAACAAATCCCCCTGAAATACCCATTTAAACTGCAGTAACTGCATTACGTCACCATCATTATTACATTTATTATCACTGTCTTCCCCCCTTTGTCTTTTTCATATATGTACCACGTTAAGTTATGCACTTCATCTTTTGTATTTTTTGTTTGTTTTACTTTTGTTTTCTTGTCTTTGTGTATTTTTTTCCTGTTTATCATTGTTGTATTTGTAAAGTCACTACTGTTTAGTTTTTGTTTTTGCACCACTAAAAAACTATTAAAGGTTCAGTGTGTAACCTCTAGGAGGATCCATTGTAGCATGGTATTTGAATTTAGGAGAGGGGTTTGGGACCACGGTTGATCATATAAGATAAGATATTCCTTTAATAGTCCTACAATGGGGAAATTCCAATCTTACAGCAGCAAAGTGGATAGAGAAAAAAACAGTATAAAGACAGTATAAGAACAGTATGAAATAAAAATATAATATAATATAATATAATA